TCTAAAGTGTTTAAATTCGCTCTGTCTGTCAACACAGTAAAACGGATTTGTATCACTACAATATGACGTAATTGCTTGTATATGTGCTCCCGGTGACACTGATCCTCGTACAAAATAAGGATGACAGCCATTCTATTGTGTTTTATAGTATTCTATGATACTATCATTGTACAAGCCGGCATCTACTAAACTTTCTTGCAAGTTCGCAGCAGTAGGGTATTCGTTCCTTGTAAAATAACCGTAGACATGGTTTGTAACAGCATCTGCGTCGAATTAATCTATACCTCTTAATGGTTTATTCTCTTTTCGTTTTTTTAGTGTATGAATTAAATAATTCTCAATGTCTGAAAGCTCGTAGTTTTTAATGACGATCTTAGCAACAGTGCGTTTGCCAATTCCGAATGCTTCACCGACGCGATCCTCACTTGCGTCACTGTGTAAAATTTTTGTATTATTTATTGTATTATGTACTATTCCTGTGTAAAAAAATGAATTTTTTACACAGGAATATTAATAATAAGACAATAAAAATGAATTAGCGCTCGATTACTTCCAAAACCGATGTTGCCACATCTTACCGTATTATAAACATACGCAATGCACAATGGTATCTAATGTTTTACATTACATTGTTTGGCGAGTTTGTCAACGTCGGGTGTATCACGTATTATGGTAGAACAAAAGCAGCAATGGTGATTGTACAATACGAAAGTAATAAATGAAACTTTACAAATGTTAATATCATAGTAAAGTATTCATCTAGATGTAAATTAGTTAAAACAGTGATAATTAGTATATAATCAACTTACCAATGAAATGTTATACCTATTAGTTCAATTACACGTTCTTGATGAGTTTTTACAACTGATTATGCTGCAATTCACCATAACAGAGAAGTATGCCCACTTTCCATACATATCGACCTGTCACTTAATTCGTTTTACAAGTCGCGTCTACCTACAACTACTGTTCAGTTATTGTTTATAATAACATAATAACTAATTTTTTTTATTTATTTATTTCGATATACTAGACTTCCCAAGGTCAACGAATATAGAAGAAACAGAAGAAATAAAGTAATCACAAAATAAGAAGACAATCACAATATTGCAAAAGTACGCTTAAAAAGCTGCCAAAATGGCAGGAGATTTTTTTATAGGAGAGGTGGCAAATGAGCATACGGCTCACCTGATGGTAAGTGATTACCGCCACCCATTAACAGCTGCAACACCAGGAGAATTGCTGCTGGCCTTTTAAGAAGGAGCTCATGCTCATGGGCTCTTTTCATGAAGATCTCTCAGTCGTATCGGTCCGGAAAAATCTCTGGTGGTAGTTAGTTCCACAAGGAAGTTGTGCGAGGAAGAAAACTTTTTTTAAATCGCTTAGTGGTGGACCTCCAGCCATCCAGATGGTATGGATGGTATTGCGAGTTTTGTCGCGATGTTCGATGGTGAAACTTTGCGGCTGGAATTGGTCCGAACAATTCCTCAGAGCACTCCCCGTGGTAGATACGATAAAATGCGCAAAAAGATGCAATATTTCTTCGCAGTGCCAGTGAGTCAAGCCGATCGGAAAGAGCTCGGTCGCCGACGATTCAAACTGCTTTGGGCTGGATGCGATTAAATGGAAGGAGCTGGCACTGGGGAGCCCAAGCCCCGAGATGGGAACAGTAAAAGTGCCATGTGTGGCCGAACCTGCGCCTTGTAAAGTTGTAGATGTTGAGCCGGCATGAAATACTGTCCCGCTCTGCTGAGCACGCCAAGCTTTTTAGAGGCCAATTTGCCCATCTCTTCCCAGTGACCATGAAACTCCACGTCACTCGATATGTCGACGCCGAGGATTGAAACTGAGGAGATGCGACGAAGGGGTTCTTTTTAACGGTAAACTCGCAAACTTGTGTCTTCTGGGGATTAAACTGGACTAGATTTAATCTCCCTAGTCCGAGATTTTGTTCAACAAAGTCTCGACTTTAGACACAAGTTTGTCCCGGTACTCTGCGAAGTTTTCCCGAGAAATATTGGCACGGCCGGTGTATAAACCATCACCAGTGCTTTCGTCTGCATAACAATGAATGCTACCGATTTGAAACATGTAGAAGAAACAGCGTTCATGGGCTTGTAATCGGAGCTTGCACCGTCTGCTACGACCTTCATGCTCCGATCAGCAAGAAAACTGATGATCCAATTGCACAATTACTCGGTAATCCAATAGGAAGGAAGCTTCGTAAGAAGCGCTTTGTGCCAAACCCGATCGAAGGCCTTCGCTATGTTCAAACTAACGGCCAACGCCTCCTTGGACTCTACTGCTTTCGCCCATTTATGAGTTAGGTAACCTAGAACATCACCAGCCGAGCGACCGTGACGGAAACCGTACTGGCGGTCACTAATCAGCTGGTGATCCTCAAGGTATCGCATGAGTTGGCTGTTAATAATAGATTCCATTATTTTAGAGAACAAGGAGGTGATGGCGATAGGCCTATAGTTGGACGGATCAGAGCAGTTACCTTTTTTAGGGATCGGGTGCACGAAGGCTGTCTTCCATGATTTCGGGACTACGCCTAGGGAGTAGGAGTACCGGAAAAGACGCGTTAAGACCGGTGCCAACTCCGGAGCACACGTCTTCAGCACAATAGGAGGGACGCCATCAGGCCCACTCGACTTTTTGATGCCCAGGGAAAGGAGTGCTCTACGCACCAAACGTTGGGTAAACAGCACATCCTGCATGGAGCTCTCACACTGAGGGATAGTCGGCGGTGTGTTCCCCCCGTCATCAAGAGTCGAGTTGGACACAAAGAGAGAGCCCAGTAGATCAGCTTGGTCCATAGCGGCATGGGCCAGTGAGTCATCCTCCCTGTTAGTGTGTGCAGAAGTTAGTATATTAATATTATAAAATTTATTATGAGAGTGCACACTAAATCTGCTTCTCTTTGAATCTGTCCGGTATCAAGCCTGCTGGAAAAAATTTCAATATTAATAATAAAATAAGCAGTGCTTTTGTACAAAATATCTTCATATTGTATAAAATATCTTCATATTCTCATTGTAACATTACTTCGTGTGTACATAAATTGTTAAATAAATAAATAAGTTCCCTTGGACAACCTTGGCGAGAGACCAGAATGCACGTGTTTCCGAAGGAAGACGAACAAGTTTCTCGCCAATTCTGCCGATGTGCTCTGACTTTGTCTTGACAATGACATTTCTGAAGGACCTGAAAACAGAATTATACTTCTTTTAAGAACGCTGGTATTTACATCTCGAGACGTCAATCCGCACCCAGGCCTGGTAACACTTCTGCTTGTGACGTGATGCAATTTTGCAAGAGCGACCAAATCAAGGCTGGGTTCTGCCTCCTATAGGTACCACAGATGATGGAAGAATAGTTCCATTCACTGTAGCACCACATCAGCGACAAAATCAGCAACAACGCTGGGATCATCCGGCGAGAAGCAAACCCGCCTCCAAGGGTAGGTTGCAAAAAAATATCGCATCCCGTCTCAATCGGCTGACCTATATGCCAAACACAGATCGTGAGTGGCACCGTACTCCGGATCAGACAATGGTCTGAGGAGCCAAGAGGGGCATCAACGGAGATCTGATATCCGTCCGGATGAGAGGTCAGCAGAAGGTCCAACAGGGGAGGTACATAATCTTCCACACCTGGGATCCGCGTAGGCGAGGTAACCAGTTGTGTCAGACTATATGCCAAAGCAAAGTCATAAACAACAAAACACATAACAATGAATTTAATCATCCATACACAACGGTAAAGTACATAGCGATATATCGTTGAAACAACGTCAGCCAAAAAAGTTTACTGTAGATTATTTTTTAATATTTTGGTTGTTTTGAATGTTTCAAACTTAAATAAGTGATATAAAACTATACATGTTGTAATGAAATATATAATACTTCTTAATTATTGGAATTTATGTAGAAAAGTTATTTTAATAATACTAGTTTTTACGGAATTTATCGCGTATATTTAACTTTTTAAATACCCGACGTTTCGAACGCTTTACAGCACCCATGGTCACAGGGGGAACTGAGATGTTCAACGTCCAGATGTCATAGTTAACCGCGGTTACCACAGATTAACATTTAGGTTTAAGGTTATTTTAAATAATACTCACATAATATAATACTCACATGAGTACGCTTGTACAAAGTTATTGCGCAATGATTAATGTGAAACGTCATAAACGATTTCTTAGATTTGGTTGGGTATAGGAACAAGCACAAGCTATTTAATCTAAATACCAAATACTCAACACCAATGAGTCATGTCAGTTACATAGCTAGACTAGTTACTGCTCGCTTTACTCTCTTGAATTTTAAGAATGAAGCACTAGAACAACTATGTCGTCGCCCTCCCGGTGATAGAACAAGTTACCGGTTTCAAGGATTACCGTGTCCTCTCTCTTCAGACCTCGGATAATCCTACAATATGCCAGCGTAATTTGTCTACCTCGTCTTCGTGCTCCAGGATCTTCTCGTCAGTCCTCAGGGTGCGTGCGTTGCATGTTGCCAGGTCGAGTAATCTTAGATGGCAACCGAATCTCCACCGGAGATTTTGAGCACCCCCTGCCCCGCAGCTACCATGGCTATCACATACAAAAGAAATTTATCTAGTCGGACTGATAGTTCTAGAGATTAGCGTGTTTAAACAAACCTCTTTCGCTTTATTATATTAAGTGTAGATTCTATCTCGTTCTCCCGTAGGCCTATCCTACAGCTTTTTTTTTCATTGAGTTTTAAATCACAACTAAAGAAGTTTTTACTTCAAAAATTATGTGTGCACAGGTGGTAGAAGCGAAACCTTCAGAAAAGGAGACCGAGATATTAGGAAACTCTCTATACAGTATTATATCTCATTCTCTCGCAGGCTAAATTCTATAAATGTATTGTATATGTTTTTCTCTTCTTAACGTCACTTTTTCGTTTCGTATAGTTTCAAATTACCTTTCTAAAGAAGTTTTAATTTCATTAAAAACTGTTTAGGCTCTGCCGAAGAAGCCGGAAGTAGAAACAATGACGGAACAGATGTGGCTGTGCGCACAATACCTGCACAGTAACGAGCCAGCGTTCGCAGGGCTCGCCGACGACTGTCTCAAGCGGATCCCCGTCACCCTCGGCTCCTTCAGTGCGGTACGCAGTCAATCACTATGTCCACTCATTGAACTGCATCAGTTATCAAATCAATAAAAAAAATACCGATTGTCTCAGATATAGGATTTAAAACCATTGAAACAAAAATTTTATTTACATTATATTTAGTTATAATTATCTATTACTTATTTCCATTATATTTCCGCACCCTACCATTCGGTTAGTGTCGCTTATAAGCGACCGCGAACCCAAAAGATCGTAGGTTCGAATCTGCCATTCGACTACTGTTGTGAATTAAGTCACCTAATTCAAGCATTTTAAGCTACCAGGAGTGGTTAAATGGAATATTAGTATTTAATTTTAATGGCGTTACTAATATATTCTGAAGTAAAAAATATGAAAGTAATATTCTTATCTATAAGATGTAAGGAATTCGCTGCTGAGAACCCTTTCCAAAAATTTTGTCGTATCAAACTTAGTACCAAACGCGTCACCCCTTAAAAGCTTTATATTCATTGCTTATATGATATCATTTTACATACCCCAATCTAGACGAGTCAAAAGCTTTCCGGATGTTTCCTTAAATAAGGGTTATTTCGCCAGTGGAAGTAAAACCAGTTGGGACGATGTTGTGATGAAACTCTACACAACTACTTCAGTACTTCATGGCAAACCTTTAAACTGTTGTTGATATCGGTGAATTCATATTATGGCTAACGCATATCAAGGTAGTTGCATTGCTAAAGTCACACATGAGCTAACAGTCTACCTGATGTTACATTGCGACGGAACTCGAAATTTTATCCTCATCATCTCAATGACTAGCGGACTACTACCGTGCGATTTACGCGGAATTTTCTACCTCGTACGACCATACGGGACTATACTGTAATTTACAGTCGCCAACGGTTATTCCGGATCGATACAATCTATGCCTTCAAGAAAAAAGCCTTACTCCTTTCTAAAAGACCGGCGATGCACATGCAATTTGCCTGGTGTTGCAGTTGTTCATGATCGGTGGTCGACACTTATCGTGAGGGGAGCCGTATTTGCGTTTGCTTCCTCTGCCATAAAAACAACAAACGTTGTAACTATAGTTCTTGCTACAAAAAGCAACCTGCAATGGCGGCGGAAATAACCACCACAAAATCTTGTAACTCATTAGGAAACTGTAAATTTATGAGTGCAGCAATAAACAGGATATTCACGTGGACAAAAGCGATACAAGGAGCGCAAACGTAAACTGGGATCAGAGGTTGTCGCCGTTCGAGAAACTGATGCTGCTGAAAAGTCTGATGGAGGAAAAATTGGTGTACGCGATCACGCAGTACGTGGTGCTGAGCCTGGGACCAGAATTCGTGGAGACGCCGTCGGTACAACTGCCCGCGCTGTGAGTTACTCAGCCTCCTCACACAGTAGTAGTAGACATGGATGATACCACTCTAGTCCTATTTTTAATCGTATCTATTTATAACATTTGAATATCTGATATTATATATACTGAGTCAGGTCATAAGTTCTCTAAAAATATTATTTAAACAGCAATTTTAAAAATATAACGTTTCGCTTGCCGAAAATAAAAAAACAATAATTTTCATTCTTTTTGGCAGTTTTCATTGTCACGAGCTTAAGGTTCGTGACAATTAAAACTACCGTCAATCAACAGTTTTTAATTAAAACTTAAAACCACTAATAATTAATCACACTTAACACTTTTAGTTCAGTTTATTTCACTCCTAAGTCTTCGCTTGTGTCGCCAATTCAATACTGCCCTGGTTGCGCCTTTAACGGCTTTATATAGGGCCTCTTCTACTGTATATACAATATGTAACATAATTAACGCACTTTGAGAAAGTAGTTTGTTCAGAATCGTTTACTGAATCGATTCCTATCATTTTTAATATAGGTAATTTTTTATCCCAAAAATAATTAAAACTACGTAAATTACAGTCACACTAAATACACACTAAATCTGTATGCTAACACTAATAATAATAATATAATATCATAATAATATCTTACATTCATTTGCACGCTCATAAATCGTTTTTGATACGAATCAGTGTATCACATTATAGATATCTTATAAGTATTTTCCGTTAATATTATATCTTAAATTTCAATGTTAGATTTTCTCAAACAGTAGATACATAAATTCTCATAAATCGCTACGTTTGATGTTCTGTCCGATTAGACACCGCTGTAGCACAGCGTCGCCTATATATCTTTTTTCTAAACCCAGGATTCCCTTTGAAAAAAATTCTTTGTCTTGACCCTCCGAAAACGCTTCAACAGCGGCCATTACTTCGCTATCGTCTCCGAATTTCTTACCTCGGAGGCGTTCCTTGAGCCGAGGAAAGAGGTAGAAGTCGCTAGGAGCTAGATCTGGCGAATAGGGAGGGTGTTCGAGCAGTTCAAATCCCGTTTCTTGAATGGCAGCCATCGCAACTGCGGCTTTGTGAGCCGGTGCGTTGTCTTGATGAAACAGCACTCCAGCTCGCAGTTTGCCGCATCTTTTTTCCTTAATGGCCTCCCGTAATCTCCTTATTTGGTCTGCGTAGTAAGAGCCTGTAATAGTGGCTCCCCTTTCCAAATATTCCACCATAATTATGCCTTGAGCGTCCCAAAAAACAGATGCCATAACCTTTCCCGCCGAACTTGAAATTTTGAATTTCTTTGGCGTCGGTGAAGAGGCTCGCTTCCAAGTCAGTGATTGTTGTTTCGTTTCAGGATCAAAATGGTGGATCCAGGTCTCGTCCATAGTCACAAAACGGAACAAAAAATTTTCTTGATCTGCTTGGAACTTTTCGAGGTTGACCCTCGAAATGTCAACTCGATTTTTCTTTTGCTCGTCGGTTAACATTCTGGGTACCCAACGCGCAGAGACCTTTTCATATGCAACTCGTTTGCAAGGATTCTTTGAACGCTGCCATATGAGATCCCTGTGACCTTAACTACATGCCAGATGGCACTCTTCGATCTGCCAACACAACATCTTCGACTTTTTTCACGTTGTCTTCAGTGAGGGACGTGGATGGGCGTCCTTCGCGAAGTTCATCTTCAGTGGATGTTCTGCCCAGTTTAAACTCCTTGGCCCAGCGCGCAACTGTAGAATATGGAGGAGCAGAGTCCCCCAATGTTTCCATTAAGTCACTGTGTATGTCTTTTGAAGACATTTTTTTCAAACAGAGGTACTTGATGACAGCTCTAATTTCGTTTTTCTCCATGTTGATGTTACCTCTTTGACCGTTCGTATTCAAATGAATATATCTCCCTTAAATCGTGATCTATTTATATGATTTTTTTAGGCTGACGTAGTGAGTATATAAGCAAGCAAAAATATTTTTTTTTGGATTTTTATGCGGACCTGAAGTAACCGATTATCATTACTTTTGGATCACCCCTCGTATAGATATCGGGCACTATACTGATGCACAGATATTGTATAGATTTTATCGCCCACAACTAGGTAGTACTAGTCACATTGCTGCGCTCGTGGCAAACATGTCGCACGTGGCAAGCTCTCACTGAAACTATTAAACAGTTGTACATGACTATATAATATATTGCTTTTTATTATATTGTTGCTTATGAAATGGCACCTCAGTTACAAATCTCTTTTATTATATTGGCGGGAACTTGATTGGTGTCGGATTGCTGCTGCTGCTGTCTTATTAATCATTTAAAGTAGATTTTGCATTAAACGTCTGGATATTAATTTATAGTAATGGTGTAAACTATGAAACAAGTGCTCCGACGGCGATGTGAACATGATAAGGTGTCTGCTGAGGTTCCTTTAGATACTATCATCTCCGACTGTCTGCTGGCTCGCGGCACCGTTAAAATCTCTCGAAAACTACTTAATGTGAAGCATCAACATACTCGTATTGTGAAGTAGTTTTCAAACAAATTATTATAAATGATAATTTCTCATTACACTTGATACTGACAAAAGTACAACCGTACGAGTCCATACCAAAGAAAAATTATCTCCTTTATTTCATAAAAATATACGAACTTACACTCCACAGTAAAGTTAATTCCATACGTTTGAATACAGATTCTGATAACGCACTTAACAAGAACCACAGGGTTTTTCTTACACGTTGTATATGAATGTCACTGTCGCCTGTTAATAGAACTAATATAATGCACTCAACAAATAATTCAATTCCTGTGCAATGCAAATGTTGCAATGCGATCAGTCCGGAAACACGAGTACGTGTTAATTATGTTAACTATGTAAAATCTAAGGAATCGTAAAAAAACGTCTTTAATGGCTTTATTACATATTAACGACCCGCCGTAGCTTCGCCTATGTACAATCCATTAATGTGCCGTTGTTTAGATTCAACATACAAAAGAAAACTTATTTTTACAATTTTTCAAAAAAAAACTTCAAGATTTTCTAATAAAATTTAGACTAGATCCTTCCGGGCATTAGCGCTTTATCTGTTTGTAAAGTTTCCTCACAATTGCTTAGGCCTATCCACAGATTAGGCCGGACAGACAGACAAAAATTAAAATGGTTATTCATGTATCAATCGCATGCAAACAAACCCCCTCAGCTACAACTTTGTTTATATGTCCCGTTTTGTTTACAGGCCCATTGCCACATAGTTCACCAATCAGTGCATTTATGCACTGATTGGTGAACTAAGTGGCAATGGGCCAGTCATATAGCTCGAAGAACCGACAACCGACGGGGAAGAAAGGTTTCCTAGTGGCAGCCATGTACCGGTAAGCGAGGTGTACGGATGCCCCCCACTAGATGGAGTGACAACCTGAGACATACAGAAAGTCGATGGATGCAGGTGACTCAGGATCATGCTGTGGCATACCTTGGGGGAGGCATATGTTCAGCAATGAACTTGTGAAAGGCTGTAATGATGATGATGATGATGATGATGATGATATATACATGTATAGATTAGGCACAGTAGACTAGTACATTAACACGTGTATAACATGCAAGTAAATTTTAAAACCAGTGTAGGAGTTGTCAACAATTTTAGTATTTTAAAATGATAATTTAAGATTATATTGATAATAAATGATAAATAATACGATACCGATTCCATGGAGTGTTAAGCGCACACTAATTTTATGAAAATAAACCATTAACAATTTTGCAGCGTTTATAACACGGGGCGCGATACAAGTATAACGCTTACGAATTTTTACTTAATAACAACAAAAAATTACGAGCAGCTCGTACAATCAGCTTCATTAGTATTATTAATAGACCGTTCACAATACTTCGTTCTACAATATACTCTACACATAAATAAAAATTAAACCTGTACACACACTGCCGTCCCCAGTTGCACTCTCCATCCCCATTTCGTTGTACGTGGTAGACTCATGCTGCAGCTATTGCTATGCTTGTAGCACGAATTGATCGACTGGACCGGAGGAAGGAGCACGCTCGCACAGAATACCAGCGTAAAATAGCATTTTATGCTATTGTGTTTTATATGGTGAGTGTAAAGAATAGGAACTACTATTACTACTACTATTACTAGAAACAAGGCATTCCATCTTAGTCCACAAAGGTGAGTACGTATCTGCATTTGATTCTTAACTGTGGATAGATGTAGATGTCTATAAAGGCCATAACACCCACTTACCATAGATGGACCGTGTGCTCATATATTCCCTAATTCTATAAAAAAAGGAACACTAACAAAGACAGTAGGCACATTCAAAAGGAGAATACCATCCAAACTTTACCAGTGATAGAGCCACGCGGCAGCTTTTGCTATTATCGCACGGAAGGTCCGGCTCGAACCGGAGTGGTACCACGACCTCACAGAATAAAAGCGTGAAGAAAAGTGCAGGTGGCCGGAGGCCTAATCCCCCCCCCCCCCTCCACCCTAAACACGGAAGCCGGCCTTGCTCTTTTTAACCAATACTCAGGTGTCCTCTCCGGTTGATACTGCATATCTCTCCTATCCAAATAAGATACAAATAAGAACACTCCTTTTTTTCCCCGGACTGGAGTTTGCGTATACGTCAGAGAAGACATCTGTCCTCGACGTCTCGGCAGTCTTGAAGATTCGAACCTGTCCATCCTTTAGCTACGCGTCGACAGCGACGACCATCCACGCGTCTACGGATGCCTCCATAGGTCCATAAGGATGATGCTGGAACGGTCCGTTCATGACTCGATCACATCCAATGGCTACAGATTCATTGCTACAGCAGATCCCATCCGCAGAGATCGTGATCCTTAGCGATGTTAACACCCACCACGCCGAATAGCTCTGTTCACCGATCATGCGGGGAGATCTGTTTACGACTTTCCATTTGCATATGGTCTTACACAGCTGGTTACTTCGCCTACGCGGATTCCAGGTGTGGAGGATCATGCACCTTCCCTGTTGGACCTTCT